ACAGATAGAAACAGTCTGAACAACACTGTCAAATCCTGTTCAGCAGTTACAGAGACGTTTTTATAGCTGATAAATCCTTCACAGAGCATCAGAGGTTTAGGCCTCAGCTGAACACGCTCCTTGTTGCCGTCATGGTACCATTATGCTGCAGTTGTTTGGAAGACTAATCATCAATCGGGAGACCTAAGATGGTCTGTGTCAAAACTATGAAATGGTCAAGAGATTGGGAACAGATTTGCACAATGTGGTTCAAAGCAATAAATCAGGCATGGACATGGTGCCGAGCAGTGACGACTGTGAAGCCGCTCAGCTGATTTGAACAGAAATTCATATAGCATAATTTAAAAACCCTCTGTTACAAGTCAGACTGTTTTCATCATCGGGTTGCCTGCTGATTCATGATGTTGATTCTCAGTCGATAATAGTGAGGCGTGTCCGAGGTGACGTCTGTTTTTTTTCTGTCCAACAGTCTGTTACTCAAAACGGATTCACTTCACTGTAACCCGAGGTCAAGAAGAAACAGGAAGATGTTGAAAAATGACATAACCGACGACTCGGTTGTCAGAATAGCGTGTGATTAATTTTTGTGGACTCATTATTGTGGCTCTTGTTACAGGTAAAGGTATCATTATCAAAATGTACCACTAAGAAACAAAACTCAAAAGTGGTCGAGTAAAGAAGTGTCAAAGAAGAGGACTGTACTGGTGTTCTCTGTCGGTCACTACTGGATAAGGAACAAATTTATCTATGTGGCTGTTTCAGTTGGTAAAGGTTCAGTACATCAGAAGTAAAAATATACATCAGACATTAGTGAGCAGATATGATGCAGCTGCTGCGCATCTCTCTCTGGACACTCAGCAGCAGACAGACTGTTTTCATGCTCCGATGACGTCTTGCTCCAGTCTGGTTGCTTTGTGGCGCCCCGACTGGCGGCTCTGACCTTTCACCAGACCTGGCTCATCCAGTGACCTGGACAAATATAGAAGCTTAATCCATCTGTGGGTCTCTGTGGGCAGGGAGGTAGCAGAGAGGACTTCCTGCGGACGCCGCCTTGCTTTGATTCATCTTGCACAATTAAAGTGCAGCATGGTTTTAAAAAGGAGAATGAGCAGCTCACTGCACCAGTGAACCGGAAAAATAACTTTTATGGTTGCTTTTCTCTTTTTAAATAAATGCATTGATACATGTTTGTTACATTTGCAATACATCACAACAGTATAATTGTAAAAATGATAGTTGTTCTATAGAAGTTTGGTTAAAAAAAATCTAAACCTTTCTTTTATTGTTTGTTCAGTGTCTCGACCTCAGAGATAGTAGTTTGGCGTACACCTAATTTATGGCTGTGATGTCTGAGAAGAGTATACCTGCTGATGAAGATCTGGATCTGTGGCTGAAAGCTCTGGAAGACTTCATGTTTTACGATAATCTCACCGTCAGTAGAGTTTGTTCAGTTATTAGCTGATCGATCGATAAAAGAACAAAGAATTAGTTTGGTCTGAACATTTTAGCCACACCAGACCTCCTTTAGAAAAAGGTTTTTTTTTATATATAACATTTTACACATATTGCAAGTGTCCCATATATGGCAAACGTGTATTAATAGAAGAAATCAAACAGTTGTTGTCGACCTGAGGCTGGCGCTATATTACAATTCAAAGGATCATCAAAGTCGCTAGGACCAGTCGTACAGGAACCAGACATGTCTGTTCAAACCTTCGTGGCAGTTCAGACAGTAGTTGGCCACAAAGGAAACTGCAGGAAACACACATGTCCCAAGGGATCAACTCCGAACCTAGTTTAGTGCCTAAAGGATGTGGAATTCTGGATGGTAATGTAGTTTCTTAGAGTTGAAATGGCAGATTTTTAATGGAGGTTCTGTGTTGGGGTTTTGTGTCACAGCAGATTGATCTTCATCTTAAATTGGATAAGTGATTCACTGAGTTTGGCTCATTTCCTGTCTTGACACAGATGTTGGTCACGTCCTTCAGGCTCCAGTCATTATCGGTGTATATTTTCAGCAGTTAAAGGCCTCACAGCTCCGTCTTGATGTCTGTGGAGGGTTGCGTGACACCGGGCCAAAGCAGGACAGCAGTTCAGGCAGGTACAAGGTGTTATGTAAGACCAGCAGCTGGTGGCAGGCCTCCGTCTGTCTCAGCAAATGATCTGGGAGCAGCCTGCTGTCCCACCTCTGTTCAGTGCTGCTCAGAGCCGTCCACATGCCTCAGATCAGCTAATTAGTGGACTTGGAGTCACTCTGCGATGCTCAGAGACTGAACGGAGAAACTGGCCAGTTAATGTTCTTTGGTCGCTGCTTGTTCACTCAGCAGCTTTGAACTGTGTGTGCAGGTGTGACTCCCTCCACATCTCTCTAGGGATTCTGGGCCCGAGCTCTGACATGGATGATTTAGCATGCGGCCAGAAATAGTCTGCTGAAAATGTAGATCCTCAGCTGCTTTCTGGACAGAACACAATAACACAACTGGTCACTTCTTTTCCTCCAGAGTGACTTGGTCTTAGCTGAGAGAGTTTCTAATCTCTGCATGTTTCTTTATTTGCACTGTGGTTTAGTTTGTGGGACAACAGCGTTTATAGTGCGGAAGTGTTTAAAACTTCCCTGTTCTCTGCAGCTCTGGTATGAAGAGCACTACGTGAGACCTTTTAACCGGCTGCTGCGTTGTGAAGGTTGGTCAGACTCTTGTCAGCCTCTATGTTTTTCATTTAGGCCATATGTAAAGGGGCAGAGGGTGCTGTTGGAATTATCATTGACAGCACTGGCAAATTTAGTTTAGTCACTTAGTGAATTTTTTTTTATTTTTTTTATATGAACCACACACAGTTACAAAGTTGAGGTGTAACACCTTAAGAATCAGAGTTGAAGTGTTAGAGTGTTTGTTTGGTTCAGCATTTTAGGCTCATGGGCCACAGATGTGGTGAATGTAACTGGTATTTACTTTGCTCAGGGCTCAAACAGCAGATTTCCAGACTTTTGGAACAAGCTGGAACTGTTTACGCCACAGTAGAGAAGATCTAAATTTGCAGTATCGGTGAACCAGCACTTCAGTACAACTGGAGCCACTCACTGTGATTCAAATTACTCAATGTGAAAACCGTTCACTAATGTAGAAGATCTGTCAGGCTTCTGAAAGGCATATAAATAATCATGTCCAGGACAAACTGCAGCAAGTACAGTCACATGTCAGAGTCACTGTGTGTGTGTGTGTGTGTGTGTGTGTGTGTGTGTGTGTGTGTGTGTGTGTGTGTGTGTGTGTGTGTGGTTTGTTCCCCAGTCAAACAAACGCTGAATGATCCCAGCACAATCAGCCACAGTGAAAGCACCGTCTGTTTACTCATCCTGGTTGATGGACAAACAGACGCAGCTTTGTCCAACACGTAGGACTGATGTAGGGACGCATACAGGAGCTTAGTGTCTGAAACATTGCCCTGAGACAACAAAAGGTTGCTGTGCTGTTTAACATACAGTGACAGACGGCAGGAGACTCTGGACTGAGTGGAGACCCAACCAGCAGGGTCACTGATCAATCAGCTGATCACTGTCTTGGTGATCTGATTGATCAGTTTATCCCCAGAATGTCAGACACTGGGGAAAAAGTCCCGCTGTGACTCTCCAGAGCCAAAGGTGGCGTCTCCACACGTCTTGTGTGGGTTGTGGGTTGGACACAGTGAGGGGATCCGACAGAGGAGACCTGACTACTGGAGACACGGCCCTGACGAGGCCCTGCTGGGCGCTGGGTGGCGGTTTGGCCTGTCAGCTGTCACCCAGTTGTAGGTCAGATCTGTGTAAAAATAACTTCAGCTGGAGATGATATGAGGCTCAGACAGGCTTCTAGTCCTTCACCTCTGGAGGAACAAGACAACCTGTCACCCGGACCTTCATACAGCTCGAGATTCTTTGGTTGGAGGTTGTTGTGTGTCCCAGATGTTTCTCGCTGTTCAGAGGCAGCAGTAGCACAGACTGGAAGAATGAAACAAGCTGAGCTGATCATGGTTTTCTTTCAAGGCCTGGGTTCCATAATGTTTCAGTTTGTTTTTCTTTCACTGTAAGTGTTGATAATCTCTTCCCAACAACATTGTTTGTTGTTGTTGACCAGTCACAACAGACAGCCCTGACACTGACACCCGGAGTCACCTGCACTCAGGCTCAGTTCCAAGAACTCGTTGTCTTAGTGGAAACAAAGGGAAACGCGGTGTGCTTGGATCACTGCCTGCATTTGGTTGTAGGTTTGTTCTTGCTGTTGTGTTCTGGTAGCAGACTTTACTGTTGCTGCTGCAGATTTTTTTTTTTATAACTAATCAAACTTTGTGTTAAAGCACCTTTTTTGCAGGGTCAGTTCAAAGTGCTTTACACATGAGCTGATAAGACACAGCAAATATGAACTGAAAAAACAGAAAATTATTTGAGTCTAACACAGATTAAATAAATAAATAAATATAAAATAAAACGGATATATTATCATCCAAGCCTAAGAGCCTGAAGGTGAAAATCAACCTGATGTAACAGAAACCTGCTGCCTGAGTGACAGTTCAGGTCACATCATGTGCTGCAGCAGTGACTTCTGACCTCTGCTGCTTCCTGCACACATCACTGTATTTTAGCCAGCCCCTTCATGTCCTGCTGACAAGGGGGGTGGCGGCACCACAGCGCCCTCTGCAGGTGTTGCAGGTGTGGTTTGCTTCATGTGCTCCCTGCAGAGCCATGGTTCCTGTCGTAGCCCAATGTGAACTCGCCTCAGGCTCCTGATTCTCATCTGTTTCACACTGTTTGACACCTGCTAATACCTATGAAGTTCATTTGTAATGCATATGGGAAAAGAAACTGTAGCAGTGCTGGCATGAATGAACCATCACAATTAAGCATTAAACATTCAGATGCCCTGACATGTGGTTATGGCTCCTGCAGAAAGTAACTCAGGTTTAGTGTCTGGTGTTAACAAGCCTTTGCGCCGTGTGTGCTTTCTAACATGCCCCTTGTCTGCCTTCAGATATCAAGGGTCCTCCGGCTCACCGCTTCTCCTGCGGCCAGAGTCCGTACACCGACAGCGGGGCCTGGGAGAGAAAGCTGTGCATCCTGACTGACAGCCAGCTCATCCTGCTCAACAAGGATGAGGAGGTGAGCACCAACAATTTTTTTAATGTAGCGAAGAAACCCCACAGAGTGCAGACAGCATGCGTGTACTAAAATATACAGCCATCGTTAACAGAAGAAGAACAGACTGATGAACGTTTTTTATCCTTGTGTCTTGAGATCTTTCATCCACTTGTTCTGGTCTGTTGTATTAACTCCTAACCGAGGGTTCCAGGACATCAGATTCAGCCTTACATAAATTTTGGTTTGATTAACTCAGTCCTTCCTTTCTAGCATTTACATGTGTCCGTCCCCCTCCTCCAGGCTGCAGGTGAGGTTCAGGAGAGCCCCACAGACTCTGCCAAGGCCAGAAGTCTCCGCAGGACAGTCAGCGTTCCCTCAGAGGGACAGTTCCCAGAGTTTCAGCCAGAGGGCGCCATCCTGCTGGGTAAGCCCCACCACAACAAACCAGCTCAGGAGCTGTTATTACTGTATGTCAGAGCAGAGAAACTGAGACAGAGCAGGACAGGATTACCTCTGTGTGTGTGTGTGCCTGTGTGTGTGTGTGTGTGTGTGTGTGAGGCCCAACCCAGCAGGGATTAAAGTCTGCACAAAACAGCGGATGTGATGACATCTAGACCGCCGAGCAGGTTTCTAGTCGCGCTGTGTGTTTGTTAGTGACAGGTAAAGTCGGTGTGCAGCTCAGATCAGAGTACAAGTACTTTGTTATAGTAAAAGTCCTGCATTCTGTGTTTTAAGTAAAAGTGCAGAAGTAGTAAGATGCAAGTAAAAGTATTCATTGTGCAGAATAATACTGTTGTATTATAACTACCAATACAGCATCGCTCAAATGTTGCAGTGCACTTAAGGGTATTTAACTTTTATTATAATGATGGGTTGATATAATACAGTAATAATATTTTGTACTTTGAATCTCTAGAATACATTTAGTGCAGTAGTGGAGTAGAAGTAGCATAAAACAGAGTAAAGTACCTCAGATTTGAGCTCAGTTCTTGAGTAAATGTATGTGGTGATGTTCCACTGTTGTCAGTGTGTAAGAGCATCTCTGCATCCAGAAACACACAACTGTACCACTGAGGAGTGATTTAGCTACATGGAAGTCCTGGAATATCCTGGAGTTTTGGAGTGCTGGATTCCAGGCTTGGGAAGTGAATTCAGGGGAATCACTTCAACTGGAATAAGAAGCTTAATGTCTAAATGTTGTTGCTGTGTTAGTAGTTTTGTGCATCACCCGTGTTGGAGATTTTCACCACATTTCTGCCTCTGCTGGTTAAAACGCTGAGCTGGGATCCCTGCTGGTGTTGCAGGGGCCCATGAAAGATTTTTGAAATGCCAGTGCTTATGTGTGGATTGTTGCGTCAGTCTGTGCCTTAATAAAATGATGGTTATAGGCCAAGAGAAGGTGCAGTGTGTGTCTGAGCTGTGTTTGATTTTTTTAGGCTGACAAAGGTGAGAAGTACCTGGAGATGGAGCCAGAGTGCTTTCAGACTCCTTACAGAGGCTCTTTAATGCTGCCTGGCTTGAATGAAGATTTCACATGGGGGGGGGGGCACTGGTAGCTTCCCACTAGGTTCATGCAAAATCAGAACCAGGAGTCCAGTCCTGAAGAAAGTATGAGTAGACAAATTCAGGACTTTACAGGCAATGTAAGACGCCTGTAGCCCTTCAGTGAACTGGTGCTGTTTCTTATGAGACCAGCTGAGTCTGATACTTCACAGCAGAGCCTCAGTGAGAGCTCTGTTAATGTTTTAAACTCTGTCGGGCTCCTGCTTTACAGACTCTGGTTGTTTGGCCCAGCGCTGACTGAACTCACAGGATTTTATTTGACTCTCTCTTGGAGTCTCCAGAGGTTATGAGCGTGTGAGGTTCAGATGTCGTCATGAGTTTGGGTTAAAGCTGCTCAAACGTTTCTGGACTCGGCGTCCTGACGGCCAGGTGAAGGCTTTTCTCTGCTGGCATAATGAGGCGTTCGAGTGTAGCCTGTAATTTTGTGGGAACATCTGAGGACAAAGCGTCCAGTGTCCGTCTGTGCATGTGAAGGAGCAGCTCTGACCCCGCTGCCCCCAGTGGGACGCTGGGGCTGTGGGGATTCTCACCCAGAGCTGCAGGGTTCCAGACCTGGTCTTACACGACCGGCTCTGGTACCAGGATCAGACGGGCAGGAACACAGATCCAGAAAGTTGTAATACTTTGATTGAGACTGTGGTCATGTTGATCAGTTTATTGACTGATAGAAATGTCCCCCTCCCTGCTCGTGCTGCTCCTTCACTCACAGAGAAGCTCATTCATTCACCCTTAGCCCTCAACCCCCACCGCGCACTGGCCGAGGGGGGAGGAGGTTATTTATATGTTAATCTGCCCACACAAACAGGCTCCCAACAGCCAATTTAAACTGGGTTTATACTGGGATTAAATCAGATTGTGAACCTCCTTTATCACTGGATTAATAGTAATGATTTATACTGGTTAATGTTGCTGTTACTGGGTTTAAGCAGAATTAATACTGGTTTAAAGGTTGGATTCATTATGGCTTTAATGTTGGACATCTACTGGGATTGGAACAAAATCAAGAAAAAAAAAACTTTTTTTCAGGCAAAACATGCTTGTAAAACAAGTTTCCTTGGTTTTGTCACTGTTGTTCCGAAGTGTTCAAACTGTTTCAAACTGGTTTGGGCTGACGTGAGGTGAATGGAACCAGAGTGGGAAGTAAAATAACGAAACAGGACATTAGAAACACTTTTACTGCCCACTTCTCCCTGACATTGTTCTGCTTCCACTTGTGTGTTATTTCCGCACACTGCAGGCTGAGCAGCAGCAGCGATGGCAGCTGAGAAGTAATTTTAGTCCACTGTTGGCAGTACAGTCTAATTACAGTGTTGACTGACTGTTCATTCCGTCTGAGCTCAGATGCCTGCGGCTCTGCAGCATGTCGTCCTCGTAGCCGCCGCCTCTTCTCTCGCTGTCAGGAGTGTTCAGATTTTCTAGATGAAGACAAAATGATCTGTTTGTGAATACCAGCATCATGTCTTTCTGCAGATACGTTCTCATCTGTCAGGCTGCAGGTCATGACCCCACAGAGCTGAATGCAACATAACACACATGCTGTCAGACTTGAAGGTGTAGTCTGTCATATTTTACTGCCTCATTGCAACAATAAGTCTTGTCAGCAGGTTTTCAGGTGTTGATGATTAATGTGCAGTTGATACTTTATAAGGTGTTGGAGCTGCGTGTTGGAAACAGACGGCCTCCCGTGTTTCCTGAGTAAGAAACCTGCCCCCCAGTGCAGCGGTGTGGTTCACTTGGGGGCAGGGTCTAATAGCTGGTGGACAGCAGTGGAGGTCTACGGCACAGAGTGATAAGCTGGACCGGGGTCTGGACTCACACACGTTATGGTGAGGACACCACGTTCACTGGTGCTGCTGGTCTCTGGACAGGGTTGGTGCACAGTAATGCTGCATCCTTTAAGAGTTGTTAACAGCGAGTGAGTCTGGCTCTGTGTATTTACTGGGAGAGTTTCACCTGAGTGAACATCGGCATGTTTTCCAGTGTATCCACTCAGGAGGGACTGGTTTCAAAAGGTAGATTTTTAGATGACATGTTTTGGACAGAAAACCAACGTGCTGCCTGTCACAGCAGTTTTAATGTGGACACACTCTGAAGTCCTGGATTGGTTTGTTGACAGGTGCAAAGAGTGACTCCTGTTTTGTTTTTGTCTAGTTTTGTGTTATTTCATTGATTGAAGCACTTTGCAGGACAATAAAGGGTGAAAGAGAATCATATTAACACTAATTATGTTTTTAAAATTTAATGTCTTTCAGTTTATGGCATCTGGTCAAAGCTTTTCCTTCCCTGTTCTCTCCCACCTGCACAAACCCACATGCCTGGCGAACAGCACTAGAGAGAAGATGATAGAAAACTTGTAAATAAACATATTTTCTTGTCATGTGCTCGGATTCAGCTTTTATGTCCCATCACAGTTTACACAGCTGTCCATCTGAAGCTCTGTATCTGCTGCATTCCTGTTGGCTTGCTCTGTCAGCCCTGCCACAATAAAACCACACACCCTCCAACTGTGCCTTCGGAATAAAAGTCTGTAAATGATCTGGGTTCAGTCCATAGATTCCACAGTAAAATGGGTTCTGAAGTTGTAAAATCTTAGGCTGAAGCCACATCTAGTGGCCCCTCTTTAAAGAATCCTAAATGTGGCACCAGTGCACTGTAAGGATTATTAGAGGTTTGAAACGTTAAACCAAAGGCAAATCCATTTTTTTTACCGACCAGGTATGATACACGCATTAATCCAGTGATGCCACAACGTTTGTCACTTTCTTTTTCCTCCTAAGGTAAAGTTATTGCACCAGAAAATGAATAAATAAAATTAAATATTTTAATAAAGCAGCCACAGAGTTTAGTCATTGCACAAAATTGACTACTGTTGACGAAAAAATATATTTGTGCAAAAATGGTTTAAGTTGTTTGCTGTTTAACCCTGAATCCTGTTTTACTGCTGGACTGCCATTATTAAAGTCATGCTGGATGTTTGAAGTTTAGTTGTTTCACTAGTTTTATCATTACATTTATTTTTTACATCTCTTTTTAAGATTAGATGGAAGAAGAATAATCCCCACATGATATATTCAGGTGTAACAGCAGCACCAGGAACGGACTAAAGAAGCAGGAAACGCGTGAAAATGACAGATTGGAAAAAATGAAATTCACAAGTTTTTTTATATTCTTTACTTTGACTGAGTACCTCAGGTCAAACTTGTTTTTAAAAATGTATGTTTAGATTTTAAATGTCAGATGAGTTTGACAGGTTTAAACGGTCGTTTGTCCCACAGCTTTTGGTTGTTAGGGTTAAATCACTTTGAGCTGTGCTTTGCTTCTGCAGCTGCTGTAGAAGTGATGACTGAAAACATGATCTTTTACCTGCTGCCATTTTTGAGCTTTAGACTAACTTTTAACAAATTTATAAAAGAATGTATTACTGTATCAAAGCCAGGTTATTTTGAAGGCAGAGTTGGTTTTTACGACATAACTTTGTTTTGTCTGGTCAAAAAGACCCGTAAGTTGATGGCAGTCTGTTCAGGTTCAGTAGAGCAGGTGCTCCACTGATAGTGCACGATGAACGCTGCAGTTTGGAGCTTTTATTGTGAAGGTCCTGTTCGGAAGTGTGTGTGTTGACGATGAAACTCGGCTCGGTCTGAATGAGTGTTTGCTCTCAGTGGATATGAGTTAATCTGCATCTCTCATGGACTTTCTGGGTGAGTTTCTTCCCGTTTAGCTACTTTAATAACCAAACATCGGGGTTTTTGGTTTTCCTTACCTGATGCAGGTGAGTCCTCGACCCGAAGCTCTGTCACTGCGCGCTTTAGCTTTCAGACGAGTTGCGAAACACGCGTGAAGAAGAAACTTGAACGGTGCGGA